GGAAAGTTTAGTGGGCAACATCTTGATGGACAAGCTAACTGTGCTAAATTTGTTTTTGGGTACCATCTGAAATCTTCTATCTGCAATCCTTGTGTACTTGTTAGATCATTCTAAGCATGTTTCATGAAACATGATGAATCTTCTAAGACTTCTTCTCATTTCCATTTATGTATTTATTAAGTTTATATATCCATTCATCTCACATACATGAGTTTTATATCAGGGATGTTGAAACAGTCTAAATGTGGAAACTGCAAAAGTCAAGTAGATTTTTTTATTGATACATGCTAGAAATTTGTAACACATAGCATTGTTCTCAAATATTTGATATATCAACACACATTGGTAATTAAAGTTGGCTGATCTTGAAGAGCAGCAGGGTTGGATTAGTGCTTAAACAGTAACTACCAGGAGATGGCAGAATTTTAACCTAGAGAGACAATCAGATGTGTATACAATGTGTTTGTGTGTGTATGTGTGTGTGTGTGTGTAAATATATGTATATGAGACAACTCACTTCTGTCTTGTCAAATATAATACAGGTATACATATCATATTCAGAAGGATTAATCATATTCAGAAACTCAGCTTGAAGAAATTTATCTCTTGTACCTTGTTTGAATTAAATTATGTTGAGTAGCCTAGTTTCTTCTTCTTTCTCCTCCTCCTCCTCCTCCCCTCCTCCCCCTCCTCCTCCTCCTCCTTTTCCATATTGGATTTCAGGTGCCGTGCCCCCAGGAGTCCAGATGAAGACTTGGAAGGTGTGGATGAGAAGTTCTTCCAACTGATTGAACAGCTGAATTCCCAGAAGTGCGTTTTGGGGTCAATGAAAAGAAATCAAGAAGTTGGGTTGGTTGGGTAGAAATGAGATCAATGGAAAGATCCTCCTTAGAGGTCCTTCGAGCTGAAAAATGTCTCAACTTCCCAACAGAGGTGTCATTTCCCGAACAAGTAGTACTGAAATACATTGTGTTCCATGACACAAGCTCCACTCTTTCAATGTTGTGTGGTAGTTTGTAAGAGGTGGAGTTTGTATCCTGATGTTGCAGTGTATAATTCCTCATTCCCTTATCATTGCAATTGCTGATATTTCCCCTCTGCGCATTAACTTCAAAACATTTTGGAGAGGGAACCTAAGTTCTCGCAATCATTGTGCTAAATTTCAGACAATGAATCTTCAAAACATCAAAACTGGAGATAGAAAGTTTTGTGTGCTTGTTTGCTTTCTTGGCAAGGCCCAATTTTAAAACAATCAAGGATTATCTTTAATAAATAGGGATGAAGAAACAGGGAGGAACAAATACTATGAAGGGCAAGTGTCAAGAAAGTAACAGTTGATCTGTGGGTGTGACATTTGTCTTGTTACATTTGTCTTCAATACCCTGGAAATCTGAATGAGTTGGGACATCAAGTAGTGTCATATTATTGAAAGCAAGTGGAATAATGCTCAGCAGAAACATTTTTTCAAAATTCTCAGCTCCATTTGTAGGCACAAAAATTGGATGGCCCGTTTCTCTGATCTTTTATTCCTTAACAATAATAATAGCACTAACCTCAAGGGTAGGACTTCTTTTTTGCAATGATAAATGTTCCACTACTGGAAATTAAAAAGTGAATACAAGTAGGAGAAGCCCAGGAGATCATAGACTTCCAGAATAAGAAGTATGTAATCAGAGGGGAACTTTGCAAATTTATATCCTTTAGTTATCTTGGCATTAAAAAAATACAATAATACCTGTGAAAATTCCACAGAAATTCTCTTCTTTAAAGGAATGGAGACAGCAATTATTCCTTAGCAATAATAATAGCACTTAGACTTATGTACCACTTCACAGTGCTTTACAACCCTCTCTAAGCAGTTTACAGAGTCAGCCTATTGCCCCCAACAATCTGGGTCCTCATTTTACCCACCTCAGAAGGATGGAAGGCTGAGTCAACCTTGAGCCTGGTGAGATTTGATCTGCCAAATTTCAGGCAGCTGGCAGTCAGCAGAAATACCCTGCAGTACTGCGTTCTAACCACAGTACCACCATGGCTCTTTAATTAGACTGAAGGAGATTTAATAGAACAAGAGGATCTAGGACAACTCATTGCAGCCAGCTCACCATGGGAAAATTTGCCACAGCCAACTTACCCAAAATAATTTGCTATGGCCAATTTGCTGCAGGACAACTCACTGCTGAACAATTCAATGCTGTATTAATTGTTCCATTCATTTACGTTTTATTATTGGTGATCACATTTTCATCTAAATTATTGTAACTCTTGTATTTCTGGATTGACTTTATTTATTTAATTATTATTGGACATGGTTCTACTGACATAATTTAACTTTTATATTTGTTGAATTGTCCTGTGGCATGTTGGCCATGGTGAGTTAACTTAGGGAATTGACCAAAGCAAGTTGGTTGTGGTGAGTTGGCCAACAATGACTTGGGTGCAGTGAGTTGGCCATGGTGGATCAAAGATACAACCAATGTGGCTGGGAGGCTATAGACATCGAATAAATAAATATTATTTATTTTGTGGATGTTTTTATTGTTTTACTGTATTTTAAGTTATTTCACAGGTAGTCCTTAATTACGACCACAATTGAGCTCAAAATTTCCATGGCTAAAGTGAGATAGTTATTAAGTGAATTTTACCCATTTTATAACCTTTCATGCCAAAGTTGTTAAGTGAATCACTGCAGTTGTTAAATTAGTAATAAGGTTGTTAAGTGGATTTGGCTTCCCCATTGACTTTGCTTGTCAGGCAGCCTCAAAAAGGGATCACATGACCCCAGGATACTGCAAATGTCATCAATATGAACCACTTGCCAAGTGTTTGAATTTTGACCATGTGATCGTAGGGATTCCACAACCACTGTAAGTGTGAAAAATGGTCATAAGGCACTTTTTTCAGTGCCATTGTAACTACAGTCACTAAATGAACTGTTGTAATTCAAGGACTACTTGTAATTGTTTTAAAATTTTAAATTTATAAGCTGCCCAGAGTCACTTGGTTGTGTTGAATTTGAATGAATGAATGAATGAATGAATGCTGTCATGCCAATTGGTGGAAATGAATATTGTCATGGCAATTGATGGAAATCTCACTCTAGGTGTGCTTATTCTCTTTTGTGTAGGCAATGGAAGAAATCTGAAGATTTCAACTGCATCACATTGTACTTCAAGCAGGAATCTTTGGAGAAGGAGGTATAAAAGACAGGAATGTGATTATTTCTTTCTTAAAAAAAACATTTTGTTATATTCTTATAAAAGAAGAAGAACACATTATATTATTTTGATACAGTGCTGCTTTTACAGTATTGGCCAGGAGATTATTATAACACTTTGTTTACATTTATACCATTCAAGCTAAAAAAGTTATTAAATCAGTATTAACAATGATTTAAAATGTTGATGTTGAGAAGCCTATGGTTCTCAACATCAACAGGAATGAACACAAAATGAATAATCTGGTAGAGAGGAGAGATTCTACTGCAAAGGCAATGATCTAGAACCAATGTTTCTATTTGCTGATTACAGGTAGTCCTCATCTTACAACAGTTCATTTAGTGACCATTCAAAGTTACAACGGCACTGAAAAATGTGACTTATGACCACTTTTCATACTTACAAATGTTGCAGCATCACATTATTTATAATGTAATCTTTCCGATGCTTGGCAACTGGTTTATATTTATGATAGTTGTAGCATCCCAGAGTCACATGATCTCTTTTTGTGACCTTCTGACAAGCAAAGTGGATGGGGAAACCAGATTTATTTAACAACGGTGTCACTCATTTAAGAACTGGAGTGATTCACTTAACAACTGTGGCAAGAAAGATCATAAAATGGGGCAAAACGTACTTAACAAATTTCTCACTTAGCAGCATACATTTTGGGCTCCATTGTGGTCATAAGTCGAGGACTACCTGAATAATTGTCTCAATTTCTCTCTCTCTCTCTTTCTCTTTATTTTTTTTTTGCAGTACCGCCTCTCACCACTGCCATCTTTTAATTACTATACGGCCTGCAGCTTCCTTGTCTTCGTTTCCAACTTTCTCATCCAGATCCTTGTCGTTTATAAGTAAGGAGGAATTGAGCAATAGGGAATGGGTAGTTAATCCAGACAGGACTGGCCCAAACTAGGGGTGATTCTACCTGCTGAAATATGAATTGCAATAGCACTTAGACTTTATATACTGCTTTATAGTGCTTCACAGCCCTCTCCAAGCAGTTTACAGAGTCAGCCTATGGTCCCCAACAACCTGGGTCCTCATTTTATCCGTCTCAGAAGGATGGAAGTCTGAGTCAATCTCGAGCCTGGTGAGATTTGATCTGCCAAATTGGAGGCAGCCAGCTGTCAGCAGAAGTAGCCTGCAGTACTGTAATCTAACCACTGCGCCACTGGAGGCTCATACTCTCCTTAAAATGTATGGGTGCTAAGCAGCATGTGTGTTCAGGAGTGTAACTGTAAGGCCAAAGCCTTAAAATTCCATAATATTCTTTGGATTGCAATTCCCAGAATCCTCCAGTCAGCATGATACAGATACAGATTAACCGAGTTGGAAGGGATCTTGTAGGTCATCTAGTTGAACCCCCTGCCCAAGCAGAAGACCCTACACCATTTCTGACGGATGGCAGTCTAGTCTCTTCTTGAAAGCTTCCAGTGATGAAGCTTCCATAACTTCTGAAGGCAAGATGTTCCTTTGGTTGATTGTTCTCACGGTCAGAAATTTCTTCCTTATTCCCAAATTGAATCTCTCCTTTATCAGTTTCCATCCATTATTCCTTGCCTGGCCTTCAGGTGGTTTGGAGAATAGCTTGACCCCTTCTTCCCTGTGGCAGCTCCTCAAATACTGGAACACTGCTATCATGTCTCCCCTGGTCCTTCTCTTCACTGGACTAGCCATGCCCAGTTCCTGCAAGTTTTAGCCTCTAGTTTCTCATGATCACAGGAATACTTTTAATTCCACTTTTGTCGAGGGCACCAGCTTGGAGATGTTTTGAGCAGAACATGTGTACAGAAATGAATAGTAGGTTTGTGCTAAGTCATGCAGGGAGAAAATTATCAAAGGCCACTTCTCACTTGAAGATCTATGTGGCAACCGATATATGAGACTGAAAATGAATGGGTTTCTAGCTCTCATGGATGCTCAAGTAAATTGATTATGGCAAGACTTTAACCAGCACAAAATGCCAGGAGGTCATTATCTCAATGGGTGGCTCTTCTTCAAGATCAATAAAAGCAAAAATAAACATTGAATTACACAAACTCCAGCAAACTGGATTTCTCGTTTATTCTTTCCATATAGAACAAAAGCACTGGGGATCTCCTATGGAATTTCTTTCTTCCTGTTTCTCCTCCTCCTTCTCACCTGCTTTGCTGGTCACCTGGCGGTAAGTCTCTGGAGGGGATACTTCAGAGGAGAAACTCATGGGGATCTGTAATCAGGCAATGAGCAGGGCCATTGTAGCTATGTAGCCCATTCTAACTTTTGGGCCATAGCTTCTGCAGACAAATTTAAAAGATGCCCATATTCTTAAGACTGGTTGGAAGCTGTCTCTAGGGTTAGGTTTTGAAATGGAATTAGAATTAGAATTAGAAGAACTTTATTGTCATTGTACAAGTACAACGAAACTGTGGATGCACCCCAGCAACTGTTCGCAATACAATAAAACCAAAGCACTTAAAAATGAAGATAAGAAAGATAGAGTACCCACATCTCCATTTGCAATTTGAGAGTACAATATCTACGAATATACACAAAATATACATCCAACACTGACTGTAACGCTTAGCCGAGTATAATACACAAGAGATGGATTGTACTGTAATATGTCTTTAAGCTCTCTGAATGGGGTATTGAGATTTCACATCTTTTCACATCTTAATCTGGTAGTGACTTCATGTTTATTTGCAGTTCGAATGGCCCAGGGAAAGAAACTATTTGTTAGTGTAGTGGTGTGGGATTTTATTGACCTAAAACACCATCCAGACGGCAGCAGGTCAAAAAGATAATTGCCAGGGTGTAACGGGTCTTCTATAATGGCCTTGATTCTGCTTTGGCAGCGGGACCTGGCTAAGTCTTCCAGGGAGGGCAGACTTCCATGGAGCAAGGTCATTTGCAAAAAGTATCAAAAGTGTTTGTTATGATATGTACAAAATAACCCTTGAGTAACAAGGATATGCACATGGAAATGTTTATGAGAATAGTTATGAATAATTATCCAGTCACACACAGATACACTAAATTGAGTTAAAGTTTACTTTAAGAAATAGCACAGTCCAATAAATGGTCCAGGTCATATACGTTTTTCAGTCCAAAGAATATCCAATTACAAAGTCTTCTTACCGGTTGCCTTTGTCATTTATAATAAGCAAAAATATCAAAGCATAAGCACAGAATAAATACAACAGAGAACCTTAGATAGCAACAGAATGTCAGAGAGACAAAATATCAGAGAGACAGAATGTCAGAGAGAGCAAGCTATGATCTCTAGCTCCCTCTTATGGTAATTTGCAATATAATCAACCAATTGGAATATAGTATAAATCAACACAGTGATTTTGTCTTAAAGCTACAAACATACATTGTTGGTTTATATATATATTTATACACCCACCATGACTGCTTGGGATTACCTGAGCAAATGATTCGATACCTAGAATCATCCAATGAGTTTCCATATTTCTGCAAATTATGCTTATCCAAACTAGATTTGTCTAAAAGAGATGATACCGCCGAAACCATCAAAACATCCCCAAACATTGAAACCATTGAAACATCCTCAACCATCGAAACCATTAAAACATCCCTCAACACCATATTAGCATCCCTGGACGCCGTAAAAGAAAGAATAACTAACCTTGAAAAAAAAGACACAACACAAAAACCTGAACATCAAATAGCTACAAACCACATCTCCACCCAACAACCACAATCCAATCCAAAACCCAATCCACAAATAAACGCAACCCAGACAAATATTGATATCCCAATCCTCATCAGAGAAGCTGTTGAGCGTGAACGGAAACGTCCAAACGCCATCTTATTTGGACTAGAAGACAGCATTGTCAATGATGACATCACAACTGTCCGAAACATCATCAGAGATTACCAAGCATCAACCATCTCCGGCGATGAAATACTTGACATTTCCCGCATTGACCGAGAGCTTAAAAATAGAGACGGCTCTGTGGCCCCACGCTTGTGCAGGATCATTTGCAAAAATGAATCAAGCAAACGTAAACTCATTTACACTATAAACTCACTCGCCAAAACCAACACCAACCACAAAAACCTCCGTTGCCGCCCTGACTTAACCATACAGCAACGTGCCCGCTCCCGTGCACTCCGCATCGAACTCAAAACCCGTCTAGACAATGGAGAGAAGGACCTGTACATTGACTACCATGCTGACTGCATCAAAAGTAAGACACGCAACCCAATACCCAACTTTTACCCTCAACCACTACCCTACCTCAACCACCTACCACCACCCACCATCACCCAAAACTACCCACCACCCACCATCACCCAAGACTAGGCACGCACGCCCCCAACTACCTCAATCCCAACTGCTGCCGGACTTAAATGCAAACTACTCAATGCAAGAAGCCTCGTGAATAAAATACCTGAATTTCTCATCCTCTTAAATATGGCTAACTTTGACATTATATTTGTCTGTGAAACATGGCTCAATGCATCTCTCCCCGACTCCATTACCACAGTAAGAGACTATCATGTTTACAGATCAGATCGTGAAAATCGTCGAGGAGGTGGTGTTGCTATATTCTACAAAAAATCCTTACATCTAAAAAATATCCAAGTTACCCAGGAGCTTGCCCTTCCTGAAACCATCATCTGTGAACTATCCTTAAATATCACAATTCGATTCTTACTATGTTACAGAGCACCTGATTATGACATCGAACATATAAACAAGCTAAATACACTACTAACATGGGCTACATCCTGCCCATACCCTTTTATCTTTCTTGGAGATTTCAATCTACCTCATATTGACTGGACCCTAAATAATTGTACAACTGAAATCATTCACACAACCTTCTTCAATGCTATTACAAATCTAGGTCTTGAACAACTAGTAACCAACAACACTAGACTGAACAACTGCCTCGATCTCATCTTCTGCAATAGTTTGAATTTAATTTACCGAATACAAACCAAAGAACCCTTTTCCAGTAGTGATCACAATATGATTGACTTTTGCCTCAACATACGTCCACGCAAAAATCACCACAACGATGTCATCCCTAGTTGTAACTTCAAAAAAGGCAATTATGATCTTATAGATAACGATCTCTCATCCCTCGATTGGCAATCTCTATTCACTGGGTGCAATACTGTTGAAGATCATTACAACATATTTTTACTTGAAGTCAAAAGAGTCATCAAACTATATGTTCCAACAACAACTCCAAAAACAAAACAAAAAAGCAGATTACCCATATCAATAAGGAAACTTCAATCCAAAAAGAGATCACTCTGGCGGAAAAACAAATCTGGTCACGTTGCTAATTTCAAAAACCGATATAAAAATTTATGCCACCAGATAAAGACCGAATGCACCAATTACCACATTAAACAAGAGGAAAACCTTCTAAGCACCAATTCCACCCGTGCTTTTTACAATTTTGTAAACAACAAACTAAAAGACTCAAGGTCCATCCCTCCCTTGATAGGACCTGATGGTAAAGACTGCAGCGACGACACCATTAAAGCCAACATCTTTAACACATTCTTCGGCTCAGTGTTTGTAAACAGTAATGGATCATGCCCAATGTTTCCTAGCCGTACCACAGACAACAATAATGATCTAATACATATCGATTTTACAGTAGACAACGTTGAAAAAGCACTACGCAACCTAAAACCATCTCTATCTATTGGACCGGATGGAATATGTGCCTACTTCTTAAGAAAACTATCCGCTGCCATAGCCAAACCTCTAAGCATAATCTTTGAAAGATCTTTCAGAACCAGCTCCCTGCCCAACCTATGGTTACAAGCCACAGTCATTCCCATCTTCAAAAAGGGAGACCCAAGCCTAGTTGAAAATTACAGACCAATCTCCTTATGCTGCGTCACCTGTAAAGTCATGGAATCAATTATTAACCAATCCATCATCCTCCATTTAGAGACAAACAACCTACTCTCCAATAAACAATTTGGTTTCAGAAAAAAACTATCCTGTAATCTGCAACTCTTACACTGCAAAAACATATGGACTACTCAACTCGACCAGGGCAAAGCAATAGACGCAATCTACATAGACTTCTGCAAAGCCTTTGATTCAGTGGTACACGACAAACTACTCCTAAAAATAAAATCTTATGGTATCTCTGGACAACTGAATAACTGGATAGAAGCATTCCTGTCAAACAGACAACAAATGGTCAAAATTGGGAACGCCCTATCAAATCCAGTACCTGTCAATAGTGGTGTTCCCCAAGGCAGTGTTCTAGGACCAACTCTCTTCATAATCTACATAAACGACCTTTGTGATCATATCAAGAGCAATTGCGTTCTCTTCGCTGATGATGTAAAGCTGTTCAATACCACAGACAATACTACTACCCTTCAAAAAGATCTAGACTATGTATCTGAATGGTCTAACATATGGCAACTCCAAATCTCAACAAATAAATGCTCTGTCTTACATATTGGTAAAAAAAATCAGAAAATAAAATACAAGCTGAATAGTCAAGATCTTGTTGATGACCCAAGCTCTGTAAAGGACCTGGGAATACTCACCTCTAATGATCTAAGTGCTAGAGCTCACTGCAACTACATAGCCAAAAAGGCATTAAGAGTTGTTAACCTAATCCTACGTTGCTTTTTCTCTGGTAATATCTCACTACTAACCAGAGCATACAAAACATTTGCTAGACCAATACTCGAATACAGTTCATCAGTCTGGAATCCTTATCACGTATGTGATATTAACACAATTGAGAAAGTCCAGAAGTATTTCACAAGAAGAGTTCTCCACTCTTCTACCCGTTATAGAATACCTTACGCCACCAGACTCGAAATTCTAAAACTAGAAAACCTCGAATTACGCCGTCTTCGGTCCGACTTAAGCATGGTATATAAAATCATACATTGCAATGTCCTACCTGTCAATGAATACTTCAGCTTTAACCATAACAACACAAGAGCACACAACAGATACAAACTCAAAGTAAACCGCACCAAACTTGATTGCAGGAAATACGACTTCAGCAATAGAGTGGTCAATGTCTGGAATACTCTACCCGACTCTGTAGTCTCTTCCCCAAACCCCAAAAACTTTAACCTTAGACTGTCTACTATTGACCTCACCCCTTTCCTAAGAGGTCTGTAGGGGGCGTGCATAAGCGCACCAACGTGCCTACCGTCCCTGTCCTATTGTTTCTCTTATTCTTTTATTTTTCTTATATGTACCCATTTCATATATTCACAACTATGTATACACTTGTACTTATTATCTTGTAAACAATTGACAAATAAATAAATAAATAAATAAATTGCCAGCCCAACTAATTGGTGGACAGATTCCTAACAGTGTTTAAACTCTCCTATGTCTTGGCCCTTGGACTCAGCAGAGCTGAGGTGTAGGCATATTTCTACAAGAGAAATGTGGGTGAAGGGGGAAGTCATCTCTTACTTACAATCCATTATTAAAAAATAGTCAGAATGGTGTATGACTTTGGGTACTCAGCTCCTACTTGGGAGAAGTAGCTTACAAAATCCCCACATAGATCATACCTAATTGTCTAAATGCCTCCACAAAGCTGTTATAAGGGCACAGTTTGCCAAAATGAATAAGATGCTCCCACATAATTGGGCCCAAGGGAAAAAATAGACATATGCAGTACAATTCTATTAATTTATATTTTATATTAATTTATTGTATTTTTGTCCCTGTATTGTTGATTTTTATTGTATTCATGGGTACCAATAAAGGAGAATATTTGTATCTCAGGGGTCCTTGGTGCTCTCTAAGCTTGGTTGTTTCCTTGCAGTCATTTCTGCTAGTCTAGACTAGCACTGAGGATGCTCCTAGAGGTGGTATTCAGCAGGTTCTGACCAGTTCTGGAGAACTGGTAGAAGAAATTTTGAATAGTTCGGAGAACCAGCAAATACCACCTCTGACTACCCCTATCCCCATCTATTTTCTGCCTTCCAAGTCCCTGCTGATCGGTTAGGGTCTTCTTTTGTTGCCCTGCACAGGAGAACAGAGCTGGAAAGCAGGTTAGTGGAGTGGGGAGGGAATGGAGTTTTTACACTCTCTTTCCCCTGTCACGCCCATCAAGCTATTCCCACCAAGCCATGCCCACAGAACTGGTAGTAAACATGTTTGAATCCCACCACTGGTTGTTACCTAGTTTGGGTAATGAAATATCTGCAAGAAAACAACCAAGCTCAGAGAGCACCCCTCATGTGTTGATGGGTTTTGGTCATTATTTTTAATGTGAACTCCATTTTATTTTGTTTCGTTTTGTACAATTCCCATACACAAACAAATATTAAAATAGAATAAGCCAATCTGGCTTTTGTCTGCTGGGAAATATTATTCTTATTTTTAAATAGACTTTTTAATGTCCAGAGAAGATTGATGGTGTAGTAACAGAAAGGAATCCAACATTTTGGCTCTATGGGTGCTTATATATATATATATATATATTTTGCTACACACAGAAATGTTTCCTGAAAGGTCCCAAGATCTTGTATTGGATTCCATCCATCTTGGCCAATGTTTGCACTCAACCATGGCTACGTGTCTCCTTGGGCATCATCACCATTCTTGTGGTTCTCACAATGTCAGTGTTGAACTTGGTATGTTGCTATTGAATGGGAAGGAGAGAGAAATAGAATATTGGGAAGGGGGAGGAAGAGGAAAGAAAGGTTCAAGATACCTGGGAAGAACTCCTTATAGCCCAGGAGAGCCAAAGCACATTTAATTTTAATGTGGAGTTGCCAATCAGTGCTAAGAGGCTTCATAGATGAAAGAATGAATTGTATTCACATATGTTTTTCAAAAGCGAAGTTTATTCCAAGTTGTGCTTGAGTTCTATATGTTATATTTATGGCACTGGGCCACAGTAGTTTACCACTGCCTTCTTTCAGGATGCTTTGTCAATTTCTAGACTAGCTTTGCAATAGCGGCTAATATCTGTAGCTTGGGCATAGGATGAGGGTGAAGGTTCATTCTCCGAGCTTGTGGGTTGGTTTCCAAACATTTCATTACCAGGCTAGGTAACATCTTCAGTGGATTTTAGGAGATTCTCTAACCAGGGGTATCAAACTCATGGCCTGCGGGCCAGATGCATCCCGTGCTGGTCCCGTCACCACCCAATTTAGTGAAGGGGAAAAAAGTCCAGGGGTGGGCTTCAAAATTTTTAGAAAAGGGTTCTCTGACTGGTTGCTGGGTGGGCGTGGCCATGGTGGGCATGGCCTAGTTGGCCTCCTGCACCATGGTGGGAGTCTCTGGAAGCCAGAAATGGGCCCATTTCCGGCCTTCTCAAACTTCCGGGAGGCCCGTTTTTCACCCTCCCTGAGCCTCCGCATGCGTCTTGCACTTGTTTGCATTCAAAATGGGCCACCTGGGGACTCCTGGGAGGAGAAGGGCAGGGTGGGTGGGGCCAGCCAGTAGCAGGATTTGGGAGTTCTCAAATTGCACAGAATCTTAGCTAGGGGCTCTCCCAAACCCCTGAGAACCCCCAGCAAACTACCCTTGAAAAAGTCTCGATACGTCACATGATGCTGCCTTGACGGTGTGAGTTTGACATCCCTGCTCTAAACTCTCTGAAGATGTTATCTAGCCTGGTAACAAAATGTTTTGAAACCAACCCACAAACTTAGAGAACAAACCTCCACCCTCTTCCCAATCTAACATATACCTCTGGGATCTCCTGTTAGTCTTCCATCTAAGGATCACTCCATCCAATCCTGTTTCAACCAATGTTGCTAGATGTGCAATCAATTCAATCTACAATGGGGTAAAAGTATTGATTCTCTATCTGGACTTTGTTCCAGTAATCTGAATGTAAAAGATACTGGAAGGATTCAAGATGAGTACCCACCAATATTCCTTCTCTGGCCATTGATAGATGCCACTGTGATATATTTCTTTTACCACACTGATGCTATTCCCAAGAAACAGAAAGGGGCTGTTGAATCCCTGGCATATGGAATAGCTTCTACTATCTAGTGCAGATCAGAAGGATTTCTATCCCCTCTTCCCTTCTAATGTGCTCTCTAATTCTGCTTCGTAGTTCTTTATGCCAGAAACCTCACGCTTTGTGAAACTTGAAAATTCTACCTTATCAAGCATGAATACTGTACAGGAATTCTCTTGGTTTAACTCCCTCTTCAGTGTGCCGGTAAGGTTGATCTCCTTAATCAATTATCTTTTTATATTCTTTTGATTAATGGATGTACCAATCTCACCAATAGCTTCTCTTCCTCCTCCTCCCATTTCTCTCTCTCTCTCCCCTCTCTCTCCTCTCTCTCCCCTCTCTCTCCCTCCCTCTCCCTCTTTCTCTTCTCCCTTAGTATTATATCTACTGCTGTGTCCTAGGATTCCTCTCATGTTCCCTCTTCCTCCACATGAACTTCGAGCTCAAGTTGACCATGCTGATACTTTGCCTTGTTGTCTACAATGTGCTGTTCCTTCACACCCATTCCTGGCTCTCTGACTGCTATGTCTCTCAGCTCTACCGTAACCAAACTGCACTCAGGTAATTAGCCTTCATGGAGTTCTCCCAGAATAAAAGCAGAAAGACTACCAGTTATCCCTCTTGATTAGTGTTCCTTCCTGGTTTCTGGGTTGAATGGCTCCCATTTTAATGGAGCATGACATAAGTGATGCAGAAAAGAACAATAGAAATGATCAAGGAGCTGTAGCAACTTCCTTCCAATGATAGCACCATCACCACCGCCAATGTAAAAGCTGGTTAACAGACACTGTTATGATTTGGGAGATGTTTAAAGTTATGCCCATCTGGTTAGGTGGCTTTTAAAGGAAGATTAGATTAATGGTCAGATATTCGTTGAGGCCATTGTCTTTAAAGCCTTCACAGAAGATCATGATCCAAGAAGGGTAGTATGAATATACGTTACTGGAAGGTAACAACACAAGTTTGTTGACTCAGGATCTGCTTAAGGAAGTCCCCAAAACATCAGGCTAGGGGACTGTTGGAAATCTGATTCTGGATTAGAAGGACTTTTGGTTTCACCCAAGAGGTGTCTTCATGTGTTCTTATAGCATGGTTGTTGTAGAACTCAGACAAATACTCTTGAGATTATGTGATTTTGATGGTTTCTTGTGGATGTTCATCTTTCACAATTCAATTCAAACCTTTATTGTCAATGCACAACATGTGTACAATGAAATTGTCTAAGTTGCACTCCCTCAGTGCAACCCCCCAACACAAATGCATCTCAATAACTCACAGTGAAAAAAAGAAAATCACTTATTCAGTAAATCATACTAACAAACACACAATCCTCTATACATATATGTGCAGAACATAACATTATATTATATTGCACCAATGCAATGAACATGTTGCACCGGCCCTGTGAGTCTATCATACTACATAATTATGATGTTATGTTACATTCAGGAGTCTGACAGCCCATGGATAGCCCAAGGAAGCATATCATCATATCCAACAATTTAATTGCCTTAGAGTAAACATTTTGGTTATGTTTAGATGAAAAATTACTTTGATGTCATCCGTTCCTAGAAGACATGAATCACCTAAACTTGATTTCACTGAAGAACAGATTCAGATGATCAGGAACTACTTAGGTCAGGGTTGTCAAACTGGTGGCCTGCAGGCCAGATGTGTTATGTGCAGGCCACAGCTACCCCAGCTCCTCAGAGGCAAAAAATTTCACAATACATCATGATACGACATGTGACATGATCAAGTTTGACACCCATGACTTAGATGGTTAGTATATTTATCACACCAGGTGGCTTTTAGCTGTAACTTGTGGGTTTGAAATTATGTCAGACCTTCTTATTTTGTTCTTTCTTAGATGAGAATTAAAGGAAACAGTATTCCTCGAATATATTTTCCCCCCACGTTTGGAAAGCTAATGAGCCTGATATATAGCCTCAAGTTATTGAAGATTACAATGGTATAGATAAAATATTACTGATATATCTTGTTCATAAAATTACAAAACACACATATATTTTTGTGCTGATGTAAAAAAAATGAAATGAAAGAAGCAAGCAAACCAACAAAAATGACATGAAACATAAATGAAACCAACACCGAGCAGAACTGTTTTGGTTACCTGGCTCTCAGTTATAGAAAAAGGAGAAGTACAATCTCTTCTGAAGAATGACTGTGTAAATTAAGGCATTCACTAGAATCACAAATCACAGCAAGAGACATTTTTGCCTTGTCTTTCACCAGGAATATACAAGTTCTGCTAACAATGATAGGGAGGGAAGGTTATATCACCTTGATTAATGGTTGCCTGCGGGCTTTTTTGTGCTTCAGAAGAGAACCATTCATGTTGCAGAAATGAAATGATTCTTAGTTTCTCCATCTTTTTTTATCCATGCAACAATAAATAGCATTATTTGGCTGTAAAAAAGAATTTGGCTGTGAAAAAAATAAAACATGAGCCACCATTATGATGCAATTACTAAAAAGGCGTGTCTTTAGAGGAGCATAGAGTCCAGATCACAGTAAGCCACTGTTCGAACTTGGGATAAAGATCTAACTCAATTGAAAATACTGTTTCTAAGTTTGGCCATATTAATTTATATGAGAGATGACTGACAGGAGATATGACAGCCATCTTCAATTCTCTGAAGGACTATCAAACAGAAGAGGGAATAGACATACTTTATGAGATTATGGGACAGCAGATTCATGACCAATGAATTAGAAGTGCAAGGAAGAAGGTTTAGGCTACATATCAAGAAGTCTCTTCACTAGAGGTCTTCAAAGCAGGTTCTACATGGTCATTGGTCAGAAATGCTCTACTTCAGGGGTCCCAATCCCTGGCCCACTGCCCATTGGGAACCAGGCTGCCGAAACAGCAGGCAAGAGTGTGAACTTTCATTTGCGTATGCGTTGGATTTTGGTTACACTTGCAAAAAACATTCCTTCCACTGCTGCTGAAACTGTTGAAGCTTCAGCTGCCACCACTGGTCCACAGAATTAAAAAGGTTGGGCACCCCTGCTCTTGAAAATCCTGCACTGATGATTTTTATGGTACCTTCCAAGAATGTAATTCTATGATCTGTTGAATACAGGAGGGTCAGATGGCTATGTAATTGTATGTGGTTGATTGATAATTGTAAAAAAAATATGGAATAGGACATGGACAGAGACAACACAGACAGGACCACGTTAAATCTTTAAAAAAAAAAAAACTACTGCTGGGCAGTGAAAAGAGAAGACATTTTTACCAACTTCTTCCATTTGACTTTGGTTCCTCTTATCAAATTCACAAAACTAAATAGGGAGCAATATTTAACACAGCACTAGCCTGAATAAAGACCCAGCCTGTTTAGAAATGACTTCCTGTTACTTTTGCAAAGATCATATGAGTGGTATGGTAACTCCAGATGAATATATTGTGCTCCAGAAGGTCATTCTAGAAGAATAGACCAGGAATGATGTTCTCTGTAACTCCATTCTTTCAGACCTGGGGTACTAAAGGAGCCGAAGGTGATGGGAGCATTCTCATTCTTTGTTTTCTTCTTCACCCTCTTGGGTCTGGCTAGACAGGTGAGTTTCCTCCAGTTCCCACTTTAATTCAGTTTGTGAATGCGACTTCTTTGATTGTTGTCTTTCATATCTCTCCATATCTCATAAGCTTAGGGCTGAGTGACAATACAGAACCTGCCCCATTTCTCATCTGCAATAGAGAAGAACTTCCTGGTAGGACCAACGAAAGGATTGTCACATAAGCTTCAGGTTGGGTGACAAACCTATACTTGCATTGGTCTTACCAGGAAGTTCTCCTTTATTACAGATAAGAAGTAGGACAGGCTCTGTATTGCACTCACAAAATGCACCTTGGGGAAGTTGGTTTGGGTGAAATTGGAGGGCAATTTTCCCATCACTCTTTCAAAGTCACCTTTTCACATCCTGCCATCCTTTCCTCTTTTGTGGTTTGAGGCTTTGAAAATCTTTACTAATGTTTTTCCACCAGCATTCAAAAAGTTGTGGTCAAATGTGGTTAAAGCGCCTGTCTGTTTTTACAGGAATCTGGCTTTGTTCTTCTTATTTGCAAATGAGAGAGTTTTCATGCAGTCAGTAACTGATTTGATGAAAAATAGAGCATGGTAGAAAAAAATGTTTCAAATACAATCTTATGTAAGAACTGGTTTTTCAAAATACAATGTTCTTAAAGTGATTTTTCTTGGAACCTAATTTGGTTCATTATTGGAAAAAGGCAAAACCCAAACCTTTTTCTTTGTAATCACTTTACTGCTTAATAAAAACCACAAATTCATCATATTGTAGCACAGCACAGCACAGCACAGCACAGCACAGCACAGCACAGCACAGCACAGCACAGCACAGCACAGCATAGCAAGTTGGGGGGGACCTTGGAGGTCATCTGGCCGAACCATTTGCTTGACCATTTCAGACAAATGGAAGTTCAGTCTCTTCTTGAAACCCTTCAGTGATGGGGTACCTACAATTTCTGGAGGCAAGTCATTCCACTGGTTAATTGTCCTCTCTGTCAGGAAATTTCTCTGTAGTTCTATCTAGGTTGCTTCTCTCCCTGATTAGTTTCCATCCATTATTTCTTATCCTGCCTTCATGTGCTTTGGAGAATAGCTTGACTCCCTCTTCTTTGTGGCAGCCCCTTAGATATTGGAACCCTGCTATCATATCACTCCTAGTCCCTTTTTTCATTAAACTAGACATACATAATTTCTGCAACTATTCTTTGTATGCTTTTACCCTTTAGTCTAAAAACATTTGATAGATTTTCTAGGCATTCTATACAGTGCTAGCTTTTCACACATTGCCAGTAACACATCCACAGTGCATGTCATATTGATGCAATCTTATCTCACTCTGCGTGTGTCTGCTGAGATGTGGTCTCAGAAGGTTAAGGCACCAGGCTAGAAATCTATAAATTCTAATCCTGTTTTAGGCATAAAAGGCAGCTGGATGACTTGGGCCAATCACTATCTCTCAGCCCAATTCACCTCACAGGATTATTTTGGGGAAAATAAGACAAGAAAGATATATCAGATATGTTTGCTGTCCTTGTGTCACTTATAACAATAATAAAGGCAGGATATACATTAAATAAATGAATAAATTAAAAAAAAATAAGCTTCAGAAAGAAGCTTCAGGTAGAAGAGAATTGGGGGAAAAATCTGCTTGATGTAGTGGGACATTTTTCCCATATGCAAAAAGGTGGCATGATCAAGACAACAACCAGGGCAAAAAAAGAATGTATTTCTATATGGTACTTCACATCTTCAGAGACATACTGAACTTTATATCAGTAGCTTATATAAATATTTTATGAATGTGTTTGAAAGACTGGGAAGAACGTATATGTCTCTATTAAGAGTTACAGTAGTTTTAATGACCTAAGATTATTTGTGGTCCTGGGGAGAGGGGATATATTGTTTAAATCTCCACTTTCCAGGAGTGTGTGGGATAGGAGCACTTTTTGATAACTTCTAAGTTTATGACTTTGTATATTCCATCCTTCAAATTGTTGCATAATATTTATTATTTATTCAGTCAAAGCACTGCCAAGAACACTCCCACCAACCCTGACAGGGCAAGCCACTAATATATAACAATAAAAGCAAATACCACACCCTTCTAGTATTGATGATGCTACCTAGTTTGGTAATGAAACATCTGTCAGAAAACCATCAAGCTCAGAGAGCATCAAGGAAACTCAAAGTTCAACCTGGAGCTAAAAATATTCTCTAGTGCTTTGAAAAAGATAAGGTTTTCACTGCAAAACTGAATCTTCTTTTTCTCAGAATGAGTATTACTGCCGCTTAGATTTTCTCTGGAAAAAGAAGTTCAAGAAAGAACGCGAAGAGATTGAAACCATGGAGAATCTCAACCGAGTCCTGCTGGAAAATGTTCTCCCAGCTGATGTAGCTCAGCAGTTCATTCGCCAGAACCGGTGCAATACGGTGAGCCTTGAAGGTTGATATTTCATTGATGATGCCACAGAGAGATGTGAAGCCAAACCATGCTAATGTTACTTGGCTAAATTCTTGACACATTGCCAACACAGGTTGGAGGAACAAGAAGAAAGATGGCAGGAAGGAATATTTTGCTCATCTATCAGAATTTTTTTTTGAGGGGGTGTGTGTCTTTTTAATCCACCTTGAAGTTGGCTGCTAAAGTTGGGGTCTTGAATTGGGTTGCAGAAACAAAACAGGTTACAGGCTCCATCATCTAGGGAGCTACATTTGGTGGGCCCTTTTCTGCTGTGGCATTCACATTGTAGAATCTTCTTCCCCAGGTATGAGGTTGGCTTTATCACTCCTGAGCTTTAAAGGTCCCCCAAGACCTGGTTAATTATTTATTTTATTTTATTATTTTATTTTATTATTTAGTTATTTGTCAAACATGTACAACAAGTATAGGTATGAACATAAACATGAACAAGGAAATAAATACAGATAAATGTGGACAGTAAGACAAGGCGGTAGGCACACTGATGCTCTTATGCACACCCCCTTTATGGACTTTTAAGGAATGGGGTGAGGTCCACAGTAAACAGTTTGAGGTTGAAGCTGTGAGGGGTTGAGGCTGTAACAATGGAGTCAGGTAGGGTATTCCAGACTTCGACCACTCTGTTGCTGAAGTCGTATTTTCTTCAATCGAGTTTGGAGTGGTTTACCTTAAGTTTATATCAGTTGTTTGGCCATGCATTATTGAAGCTAAAGAAGTCATTGGTGGGCAAGATGTTATAGCAGACAATTTCATGAACAATGCTTAGATCGGACTGCAGGTAATGCAGTTCCAAATGGTCCAAGTCCAAAATTTCAAGCCTGGAGGCATAGGGAATTCTATTGTGAGTAGAGGAGTGGAGTACTCTGCAAAATAAATATCTTTGAACCTGCTCAATCATGTTAATGTCCGATATACAGTGTGGGTTCCAGGCAGATGAGTTGTATTTGAGAATTTGTCTGGCAAAGGTTTTATATGCCCTGGTTAGCAATTCAATGTTACCGGAGAAGAAGTTTCACAAAATAAAGTTATGCTAGCAGGCTTGGAGAAACCTGAGGACAAGTGAACTCATGAGGTAGATTCTTTATTATTAACAACCCCAGGGGTGGGATTCCACCGGTATAACAACCAGTTTGGTAATTGCATGCTTTGGATGCAAACGTTCACGCTCTGCATTTGAAAAAGCCCATACTGCTCTGCCAAGCGAACCAGCTGTGCTCTAAACAAAAGAGATAAAGCACATGAAAGAGCAGGGGCAGGTGGGCAGGCCCACATGCACATCGCAGAGAACCAGTTTGGAGCAAGCTGATCATCGGAACAATGATCCAGTCCTAACCAGTAGAATCCCACCCCTGAACAACCCCCTTTCTATTAGTCTTTTTTCCTGTTTTAGTTCTGCTTTCATAGCTTTTAATGTTCTTATTTGTCAGCTGCCACTTTACGCTTGCTTGGGTGCTTCACTAACATGGTAACAACCTGCCATGAACTCTGGGGAGGGAGAATGCTGGGGGGGGGGGGAATAAAAGTACTGCTACATCGCTCCAAGATGCTGCTTCAAGGCCATCTGGCTGGGAGAAGAACGGAGTTGCATACCAACCTACGTTTGAAGTTGCCATTCTGAAAACTGTTGTATATGACCAAATATGGCCAAGGAGAGGAGTCGGCTAATAGACTCCACTCATTGGCCCAGCCGCTGGTGGGAAAAACAAAGTCCGGTCAATGGCTGAAGCTTTGGACAGTGCCGGCTATAAAAGCCAGTGCCAGCCGAGGCTGAGCGGCTTTTTCTGAACTGATTTTTAAATAAAGGCTGCTTACCAGTTCCCTGCATCCTGCCTCTCATTTCCCACGCAGACCCCTCTATGGCCCATCTCTGTCCTATCTGGCCAGCCGCTACAACTTCTACACATGGAGCCAGAAGGAGGGAGAGACAATCAACTCATTCGTGGCAGATCTATGCAGAATTGCAAAGAACTGCAGATTCCCAGATACTGAGGGGATGATCTGGGACTGGATCATCCTAGGAACAAAGGATCCCGTGCTACAAAAGAAAATCCTGGCCCATGAGGACATCTCCTTCCAAGAAGCCATCGATGAAGCCAGAGCCGCCAAATCATCTGACAACTCAGTGGCATGGATCCAAGGGAGCGGAAGAGCCCATGCAACTGGGACTGAATGCCTGCCAAGGCCCAGTGAGTCCGCCTCCGACACCAGCGATGATGATGATGGTAGAGATGTACATAAGCTGAGGTCCGGTAAGTCAGGTGGGAACCCGGGAACCCAAGAGTGTGGTGGCTGCGGCAGAAACCACCTCTGATCTGTGTGCCGTTTTAAAGACACTGTATGCCGGAGATGCAAGCGTAGAGGCCACATCACAGACGTATGCCGTGTGACACAACTGATGAGCAAGCAGGGCCAGTGAGCCGCGTCACCCACAAAACAACATGGCCACCAAGGGGGAGGGTGGAAGAACCATGGTGGGAGATTCAAAAAGAGGGAAAACTCCAGGGAAGAGGAAACAGGCCAGAGTGAGATGCACCGATGCTTTTGAAGCAAACAAAATAACAGCCATGGTCGGAATCAAGGGCAAACGTTTCCATATGGAAGTGGACTCGGGGTCCTATATATTCATGATATTGTGGGACACCCTTAAAAAACTCTTACCCAAGCAACGGTGTGACCAATAGGAACCTCAAGCCATTATTTTGAGAGACTACCAGGGCCGGCGCATACCGGTCCTGGGAAAAAAGACTGCATGCATGGAGTATGGCACCTTCTGCAGAAGCCTACCACTCACAATAGTAGACCAAAGCGTACCCAGTCTGCTTGGTAGAGAATGGTTCCTGCCACTTCAGATAAGCATCGCTGGCATCCACGCAACAGAGACGACCTCCCCCCTGACTGACTAGAGACATCGTGGAACTGGAACGAGAATTCACCAACATCTTCGACGACAAACTGGGCAAGTACACAAGGACCCCTATATCATTTAATTTAGACCTCAATATCGCCCTGGTCCACCTCAAGCCGCGGTGAGTCCCATTTGCCCTCCGACCAAAAGTCGAGGAACAACTGGACAAATTAATAGCCTAGAACCGATAGACTATGCCAAATGGGAGACCCTGATTGTGATTCTGGTTAAGCCAGACAGATCGATACGAATCTGTGCTAACTATAAAATGACCCTTAATAAAGTGCTACAGCAAAGCACCTACCCAGTGCCTGTAGTCCAGCACCTCCTACACTCCCTGGGCTGGGGGACTATATTCGCTAAATTGAACCTGGCCCAGGCCTATCAGCAACTACCTGTCAACAAGGCTACTGCTGAGGCGCAAACCATCATCATGCACAGGGGGACATTCAAGTGCATAGCCCCAGGCCTGTTCCAGAGTATCATGGAGCGGTTACTGCACAACATCTCTGGAGTAATACCCTACTTTGATGATGTAATTATCTCAGCTACCAGCAGGGAGCAATTGATGAAACATCTAAGGGCAGTCCTGAAAGATTCCAGGAGGCAGGATTGAAATTAAAGAGAAACAAATGTCACATAGCGGTCCCACAGGTAGAATTCTTGGGGTTTCTAATTGATGCTGCAGGCATCAGACCCACAAACGGGAAGCTTAAAGCCATACGGGAAGACCCCATGCCACAAAACAAAGCAGAGCTGCAAGCATTCCTAGGGTTGCTGAACTTTTACAATGTGTTTCTGCCGCAGCAAGTGACCATTGCGGAACCGCTCCACAGGCTGCTCGATAAAATGGTGAGCTGGACTTGGGGACAACATGAGGCCAAAGCATTTAAAAAAATAAAAAGCATCTTAACATCAGACAGTGTTCTCATCCAATACAGCGAGATGCTACCGTTAACATTAACCTGTAACGCCTCCCCCTACGACATCGGAGCAGTCCTCAGCCAAAAACTACCCAATAGAACTGAAGCCCCTATCACTTATTTCTCAAAGACACTATCTAAACCACAAAGAAATTACAGCCAGATCGACAAGGAAGCACTTGCCGCGGTCGCAGGGGTAAAGCGTTTCCATGAGTACCTGTACAGCAGTCAGTTCGACCTCATCACTGATCATAAGCCCTTACTTGGCATTTTTGCTGGTGACAAACCCACACCGAACATCCTGTCCCCCAGGATGTTGAGATGGACAGTATTCTTGGCAACATACAGCTACAGCTGGCCAGGGACAGACATTGCCCACACCCATGCCCTCAGTCGTTGCCCCCTTCCAGACACCACTAAAGACCCAGCGCCATCCACGACAGTGCTACTAATAGAGAACATACAGCCTGGGATGATGACGTCCACAGAGATCACGAGACTCACCACTCACAACAAAACCATGGCACAGATTTTGGACTGGGTGTGGAGGGGATGGCTGGAGGCAACACAGGGGGAGGAATACAAACCATGCCAAAATAGGCAAGCCAAGCTGTCAGTACTGAAGGGTTGTCTACTATGGGGGGACCAGGTAGTAATTCCCCCCATTAAGAAATAAAATATTAGAAATGCTTCATGAGGACCACCCCGGAATAGTCTGGATGAAAGCCCTAGCCAGAAGCTACATATGGTGATGGGGGATGGACAAGGAGATAGAAACCTGGGTTGCCACTTGCACACATTGCCAAGAATCTAGGCCAGCACCCTCGGCCGCGAGACCCAGAAAATGGGAAACACCCACCACACCAGCGAGAGTTGTTGAAAACATAGGGCCAAGGTCCTACAGAGTAGAGATGGAGGAAGGGAAGCTATAGGAATGACACATTGATCAGCTACGAGGCCGGGTCCTGAGCACAGACAACCAGCCAATCACCCGACACGCAACAACTAAACAACCCAGGCCACAAACACCAACCCCACAGGCACAAACCCCTGAACAACAACAACAGAGACACTTATCTTGCAAAGAGGAAGTCCCACGGGGTCCTTCTGAGGTGTCAGGCTCGATGGTCCCTGCCGTGCCAGTAACAAGCTTCAAGACGATTCCACTGGCATGGACCGGAGCAGCGGCAGACCTGTCTACTCGGGCTGCTGCCCCAGGAAGTGAGGTGTGCAGGTCCGGTCGCGCCCATCAAAGTCCCACCTACTTATGCGATTACATACGGTAGGCGGGCACTGATTGGAGGAACACTAACTAAGAGGTGAGGGGTGCTGTGTATGACCAAATATGGCCAAGGAGTGGAGTCGGCTAATAGACTCCACTCATTGGCCCAGCCGCTGGTGGGAAAAACAAAGTCCTGTCAGTGGCTGAAACTTTGAACAGCACCGGCTATAAAAGCCAGCGCCAGCCGAGGCTGAACGGCTTTTTCTGAACTGATTTTTAAATAAAGGCTGTTTTCCAGTTCCCCGTGTCCTGCCTCTCATTTCCTGCATGGACCCCTCGAACAAAAACATCTTACCTGAACCTGATTTGCCATGGGTAGTCAGAGATATGAGATATAAGGGAGGGAAAAATTGAACGTAGGGAGTTTTGCATGTCATTCTCAGTTCTAGCTATACACTACTGCAATGCACTTGATTTCTAATAAAACTATACCTTTCTCAACAAATGAAGACCAGGGTCATTTTTATTTAGAGGTTTAAGTGCTGGCAGGTCTGATATTAATAATTATTAGGTTTTATGTAATTTATTTATAACATTTATTTACTCATCTTCTTCTATCAAAACAACTCTGGGTGGCTTAAAAGCATTAAAACAATAGAATTTTAATATTTCTAAAATGCTAAAAGTGGAAATCACAATCAAAATAAAATTATCGTTAAAAGACAGGGAGGGAGGAAACAGGATGCAAGGGGGAGGAGGAGGTGGAATTGCCTCTTAATTGTTTGTAGTGATTGTTCTTATTGTTTTGTAACTGTTTATAACAATTGCTTTATATATTTAATTGTTTTATGGGATTGTTGCATGCTGCCCAGAGTCACGTTCCATGAGATGGGAAGCCATATAAATTTGGTAATGAAATAAAATAAAACAATAGAAAACTTGTGCTGCTGTTCAGCATTTTCCTTACCTGAGCTGACAAAAGAGGCTTCTTGGGTTTCTAGGCTGCCATGACAAGCATGAAACTCATGATCCAAAACATCACAGCCCAGCGTGTATTCAAAGGCATGCTCTCCATTTGGTTTTGCGGTAGGACAAGCATATCCAAAGAATTGGATCTGTTGTAGCTGTGTTGCAATGGTTAAGCTATCCTTTCTGATCTTCCAGGGAGGTTGAAGATTTATCTATCTATCTATCTATCTATCTAATATATCACCTATTTGCCATCCATCTCCTGAAGAAATGATAATTTAATCTTTTCCTATCATTCTGTAGGTGGTAGAGTTTGAATATCCTTGGTGTGGAAGTTTAAGGATTGCTGAATTTGAATAACTCTCAGTCTTTCTCTGCCAGCAGGATCTCTATCATCAATCTTATGATTGTGTCTGTGTTCTCTTTGCTTCGATCCCGGACTTCAAAGAATTTTATTCTGAATCTAATGTCAACCATGAAGGACTTGAATGCCTCCGACTGCTCAACGAGATCATTGCTGACTTTGATGAGGTATGGGGAAATATAGGTACCTGTAGGTAGCTGCGTGCATTTATATCTTCTCATTCTTTCTTGTCTCTCTGTGTGTATATGTGTGCACATATACCTACATACATGCAGTTATACACATGCATAATTTTTATACTTCTTTCCAATTATTCCCACAAGTATTCATACTTGTAAAAATGTCAATAAAAAGTTAGAAAAAAGTCCAAATGAAGCAAACAGCATATATAAAATGCATCTTATATTAGCAGAAATTCCATACAAAATGCATTAAAATGTGAAGGATAACTTAAATACAGATGGATGCAGAGAGAAGGTGAGACAGATTTATGAACAAGCAAAAGAATATGCTTATTCTGTTTCATCTGCCAACAGAAATTTCTCTCAATTACATTTTTACTCCAGTTTATATAAAAACTGTTTGAACAGCTTATGCTTAATAGATTCTCTCTTCCTTACACTGGCCTCTTCTTCTTGTAAGACAGAGAAATCATCATAATCAGAGTTAATTGTGCATAAGTGAAAACGGCTGCTTATGTGTGCTGTAACCTAATCAACATCAGCAGATCTCATGACAGTTCAGTTTATTTCTAGGAAATAGAATGTTTGAATAAATAAATAATTCATACCTAAGGGACCAAACATCACCCAATCACAGCCAACAGCCAATAATTATTCAAAATAAAAGTGCACCACCTTTTGAGTCATCAAAGGTCACAGTTAACATTTGGGAAGGGCTCAGGGTCAAAAGCTTGTTGGTTTGTAGGCTAGGCTGGAATTTGAAGGGAGGAATTATTGGGATGTGGACAGAGATTTTGTTTTTTATCATGATATTCCTTGTTTTGGATTTAAACTATAATTTCCAACTATTTGCTATCACAAAATGGTGGAAATTATGTTCCAGCAGTTTTGATCAAGGGAAGTTCTAAAGATCTCAAAACATGGCTTTTAATTCCCAATTAAAATAATAAGATGTGAGATAGTGATAGAATTTGAGGAATCTATGATCTGGATTAGCAGAATACTAGGTTAGGAAATAGAAACATCCCATGACATTATACTATATTCTGATTATAATTAAATAAGTAGAATAAGCTTAATTAAATTCAGAATGAAAAGAAGCTGAGGAAACAGAAATATACTAGTGTAAAAAAATTAAAGAGGTCCCAATGGTACATTAATAAAACTGGCATCGTGTAATTCTTCTTCAAGTGAACTGCTTCAAATTGAAATTGAAAATGACAGATTATTACTGTCTTTCATGTGGCTTTTTTTTTTAGAAAAGCCAATATCACCATGGATGAGATCTAGTTGAATAATCTCTACAATTGTTGAAACTGTAATTTTTGGGATCCTCGGTACTCTCTGAAGTTTGTGAAAGCCCCCAACTTGAAGATGTTTCATTACCAAACTAAGCTCATTGGTATTAGAAGGGAATAGGATTTTGTTCCAATAAATTGTATAACATTTCTTATAGGCACTTCTAATTTCAGTCTCAGAATTGTAAGAACCATCCGTGCTCAGAGATGACATCTGCCTGATTGTATCACCATCACAATTCAGACTCAAAATGCATCTGACTAAATACCTTTCAGAGAAAAATGCTAAGCTAGATAAATGATTGATATGCAAAAGTGTCTTAGCTTTTGAACTATCGGAATAAATTATTTTCTATCTTTCTTTTAATAGCTCCTTCTGAAACCCAAGTTCAGTGGAGTTGAGAAGATCAAAACCATTGGCAGCACTTACATGGCAGCTACTGGCTTAAATGTGGCAGCTGGTCAGGATAACCAACAGGTGATATCTTCATTCAGGATTCCTTTACTCATCTTGAACCTGTCAGTGGAACTGAGATTTCATGTTCTGTTTCCACCTTGTTTCCACTTGGCATCTTCAAGGCCATATTTTTGGTGTTTATTAGTTACATCTTTTTTGTATGAATTATTTGAAAATATAGGATCTTTTAATTTTGGAATGGTTCCATAATTTTGCTCTTTGGGATCCTGGGACATATGTTTGAAAGTATATATGCATATGAATGGAATGTGTATGATAAGGAATCTGTAGAGATCAGAGGGAATGACTGTGAGGAACAGGAGAAAGAATCACTACAAAAGCAAGGATTAGATAAGAGGTGAATGAGTCTAGAGCAGGTATATAGCTTCAGTAAGCATCTCAGACTGGGATCTCCTTAGGTTCACTGGAAGAACATGAAGATAAAAGGGAAGGAGGGGAGAATCTAATTCAAATTTGCAACTTCTGTCACTGTAGCACTACAAGAAAAGTAGTACAAGTAGCCCTTGACTTACAACCACTTAGTGATCAGTGTTAGTGTTTAATGAACATTCAAAGTTACAATGACACTGAAAAAAGTGATTTATGAGCAGTCCTCGCATTTATGTCCATCACAGCACCCCCATGTCCCTGTGATCAAAATGGGGTTGCTTGGCAACTAACATGTATTTACAATAGTTGCAGGGTCTTAGGATCATGTGACCACCCTTTGTGACTTTCCCAACTGGCTTTTGCCAAGCAAAGTCAACGAGGGAGACTGGATTCACTTAATGACTGTGTGATTCATCTAATGATTCGCTTAATAACTGTGGCGAAAAAGGTTGTTAAATCAGGTGTGACTCACTTGACAAGCTTCTTGCTTAGCAATGGAAATTTTGGCCCCACTTGTAGTTGTACATTGAGGACTACATAGCATTGTTTTCCTAGTCTCATCTAACTTGAAGGGCTCACTTTGACTTTGCAGTAGCAGAATGAGAGGAAAACACATCTTAAGTACATTTGTTACTTGATCAATTTGTGCTAAGCCACTTTCCTCTTAATATTAGAGGAACCTTTGTCTCTGTGTTTTACATTTTCTATCCATTGGCTTGCGTTGATAACTCCATCTACATGGATGATTTGTGCAGGACACTGAGCGGACCTACACCCACCTGGGAACCATGGTGGAGTTTGCCATGGCTTTGGTAGCCAAGTTGGACATTATCAACAAACATTCGTTCAACACTTTCAAACTCCGTGTGGGTGAGTGTTTAATAAACTGAGCATGAACTAAGAAAATTCATTTCTATAAACATACTTTGGCTGTGAACTCACGATACGATGAAAACAGGATTTATATTTGTGGAGAAAAGGGGAAGCTGTTGTGCAAATCGAATTATTTTTCTTCTGGAGCTGAGCTATGAAAAATGTTGGCACAATTATAGAAGTGTGCTCTTAGGTTCAGCTTATGGTCACTTACTCACCTACTCACAGCCCTGGAAAATGGCCACACTCAAATTGTTTTCAGCTGAGCAATGAGGCACAAACAGTTCTTTAAAATAGAGATCCAAGGGATTTAAAATAACAGCAAACTATTACAGATTGTAAAATATATTTACTTCCTCTTACACACTCTCTTTCATTCACACTTATCCAACGTCCACAATTAGGCTGCCAGACACTAATCAGAGGGACAGAAGTTGTTAAGTCTGGGATCCAAAAACAATTCAAGCAGTAGACAGGCTTCAGGATCCCTTTTATCCCTCCAAAAGTTCTTGCTTTGTTGTTGGGAAGGGCCTTCCTATGCAGGCTCAACTCCTTTGTTGGTGACATTTGAGGAGGGGGCTTGTCACATGCTTAGGTTCAACTTTTGTCCTTTTGTTTCCTTAATGACTTACATCCTTTCCCCTGAGGGAGCTTTTCCCGGCTTTTGTCCATCCTGTTTATATGCCTTCACCAGTTTTAGGTATAGTAGTGTTGGAAGAAATATCCATCTGGTTCAGTTCCAAGCTGGGAGGAAGGCACTGAAGACAAAATGAAGGCTGGAGGCTGATTGGAAAGAGGGTCCATTTATTGATGAACAGAACCACATGTTTGTAGTTCTGGTGCATCTGAATACATGGAGTTGAGAGTGGAGGTATTTATACCTTCTCTTGGGCTTTGCACTTGACCTTTCTGTTCCTATGCAAGAGCATGTATTCTATTAGTTGTTGTTGGACTCCCATGGGGCCATGTACAAATTCTAGGGATTTGTCTGAGCTAAGTTTGGTTGAAGTTTTCTGGGGCGGATGCAATATCCTTAGGAGATTGTGCAATGTAGTGAGCTCTGTGTCTTAGTGGGTTAATCCTATCATGTCTTAATCCCTTCACCCTGGAGCTGAAAGTCTTTTGTTTTGTATGTCTTAATGGGCACAAAATATCTGCTGGGAGCAGGGAACCGGGGTTCTGAGTTTCTGTCTCCCATAAGACTTTTTCTTTTTCTTTTAAGGGAAACATTTTATCCTGCCTTTAAAAAATATTCCTCAAAATATTTCATTCTTCTAGGAAGGGGTGGGTGGTAACTTTCTACATTGGCTTCAGTCTAGCCTCACAGTGCTTGCTCAAACACCAATTGGCTTTTGAATTTTTAGCATGATTTTTTTTAAAAAGTGCTTATATTGCAATTTAATAAATAATGTTTTAAAATTTTTACATGGTGCTATAGGGAAAATAGCACAAGGCCAGGTTCTTGGATCAATGTTTGGATTGCTGGTGTACATTCACTTTAGGACATGTAGTAATGAAGGAGATAGCAACAAAAATGTGAGAAGAGAATTGATCATGAAGAGCTTGTACGAACTTTTGATCTAACACTACTTATATCCTTGCTTGATTCAATTGACGGCCATTGTTAAACTCTGGAAACTTTTGCAGGTATAAATCATGGACCAGTTGTGGCTGGGGTCATCGGAGCACAGAAACCCCAATATGATATTTGGGGAAACACTGTGAATGTAGCCAGTCGAATGGAGAGCACAGGAGTTCTGGGAAAAATACAGGTAGATATAAAAACTTTCTATGTGGTCTCCTTTCTGTGACTTGGGTCCTAGAATTTTCAATCATTCAAGAGATTTAGATGAAATAAAACTATAGAAAATGCAACTGGAGTTGGAAGTTGTTGAAATGAATATCTACCATGGTTCTTCCTCATGACAACAATATGGAAAGGTAGCATCCTTTTCCTTGTTTCTGCCATTCATGGATCAAAGGACGGGAGATGAAGACCTACATATGTTTTTCCCCAAACACATCTGGCTGAACTCTTCTGGAGACAGGCTGCCAGGCTATTGAAAATGTCCCCCTTTGTCAGTGAAATAGGGATAGGAAAATGATCTTGTTCTTCTTATCCTTGTTCTCCTAATCCACTATCTCTATTGCTTTGTTTAATAAAATGTGATGGAAGTATTTTCTTTTTATCATTCATTTATTTTGGTGGACTTCCTGATGCTCTCTGAGCTTGGTTGCTTGCTTGCAGATGTTTCATTACCCAACTAGGCTTACATCAGCACCACATTCAAAGAGAATCAAATACTTCAGAATTCAATACTAAATTATTGATTTACTGTTCTATTAGATCTTATTTTTGGGATACAACTTCTAGTGGCTTCCACAGAATATTATCCTAGATATGCACTTTTGTGCATTCCCCCACCAAAATATATTTGTCTGGTATAAGGCTTTCCCCTAAAGCAGGGGTGTCAAATTCAATTTCATTGAGGGTCACATCAGGGTTGTGTTTGACCTTGGGGGGCTGGGGGGGGGCAGGGCCAGGGTGGGCATGGCCAACTCAATGTCACTCACAAGCATCTGTTTTCAGCCATGATGGCCCTTCTGGGGTCCATTTTCAGCTGTGACGGCCACCTACAGCCCTCTACTAGCCAAAAGGGAGCTTGGGGACATAGCACATGGCATGCCCGGGTTCCATTTTTTTACTGTGATGGCCTCCTGCAGCCCTCTGCCAGTGAAAACAGAGCTGAGGAGGGCTGCACATGACCCTCCCGAGCTCCCTTTTCGCTGACAGAGGCACTGCAGGCCAGTCCTTCACTGTTTCCAGGGTGGGCCCATGGGCCAGATCTAAGCACCCCATAGGCCAGATCCAGCCCCCGGGCCTTGAGTTTGACACCTGCCCTAACGTAAACATTTTACTGTAGTGTTTTTGCTATATGGCTATTTTTTGTATGCCATTTACCCTCTTTCATTTTACTTTCATTTATATGGTGGCCCATTTACAGAAAGCACCTCTGGATGACGTACTTTTGGGTCAGGGTTTTTGAGCTGAATGCCAATGGGTTCCAGGAATGTTGTGTATATTCACGTTGTGGCTGATTGCATCAAATTGATCATCCCATTAGAGTAGGAGAGAAAACAATCTATGCCTGACATGCTTATGAAGAATCACCCACCCACCTGGAATTACATATCAAGGACTGGGGAATTATGGTCTGTTTCCTGGCCTTGAGTGTAGCTCAGCAAATCAGAACTGCACCAATTCATTGCCATCATTTGACATTCTGCAGATTAACCTAGACCAGAACTCTCCAAACATGGCAACTGCTGGATGAGGAATTCTGGGAGATGGAAGTCCACAATTCTCAAAGTTGCCAAGTTTGGAGGCCCCTGACCTAGTCTCCCTAAAGTCAGGATGGACTCACGATTGATTGTGGATGGACTCACGATTGTTTACCATGCACTTGCTTGTAAGTGGTAGAGTATATGCAAATATAATACCACAAAATGGTCCACTTTTTGATTCAGATAAGAAAAACATTGTTGGGAAAGTACCACCCCCCAAAAACAGATACATCTTCTGCAGAATCAATGTATGCTTTGTTTCCTGTCTTCTACAGGAAAGTTAAAAGAAGGACCTTGTCTGAAATGCATTAGAATTATTATTAGTAATTGTACCAGTGTATCTAGCACCTCCAAATTCAGTGCTTCCCCTTTACTTTTTTCATTCAACTCTAATTTAAATAAAATAATATATATAATATATCTCTCCCTCTTTGGTTGTCTTTGAAATCAGAGTACAGAATAATCAAGAGGAGCAAAATCTCCAGAGATATATTAAACTCAGGACAGGAGATGATTTTCCATTTTCATTCTATCTTTAACAACTACGCTGCTGAAATTCAGTAATGTGGGATCAGAAGGGTTCTAGGAGTTCAGGAAGAGAAAGCAACTGTTCAACATATGGTGCTGAGGTTAATATTTATTTATGCCATTCCACCCCACCATAACAAATCAATGTAATTTCTACATTAGTTTTACTTGCTTAATCTGGTTGAAACCAACTTGACTAAGAGAACAGCTATGTAAATAGTTTGCTGAGCCCCCTTTCTGATGAGGCATTTCACCTGAAAGTCTATGGAGACTCTCAACCATCCAGGTCATGATTGTCCTAAATATGCTTCCCCCCCCCCCCACAAAAAAGGGTAACTGGACTTTCTTGAGGTTATTTTCTTGAAAACATTTTGCTTCTCATAGAAGAACTGAAATGTTTCCAAAGAAAAACAAAACAAAAGAAGAAAATCCAGTTGCTTTTTGAAAAAAAAAAGCATCTTTGGGACTTCAGCTGAAACTTTTGACATCTTCTTGGGCCAAATAAAATCCAAAGTATCTTCTCCCATTAATTAAAAGTTATACCATTCATTCAGAAAGGAACAGTAATAAATAAGTTAAAATTGGTGAGTTGACAAGACAAAAATAACTGTATAGCTATATCTAAAAAGGTTAAATCATGGCAATTGGACCAAAGTTTATTAAACTGATTCATTTCATTACTCATTCAAGTAACTTCTTCAGTCAAAATGAAAAAAAATAAAAATAAATTAGGCAGAGAGTCAGAGAGTCATTGGAAAGTGCTAATTCTTGTCATACCAACTGCAGGCATTTCTCCCCAAAACATATTGCTAATGTCAATGAAGACTCAGTCATTTAGCTGTAGCTGTATCAACCACCTTTACATTCTCCTTCTTTCTTCTCCTAGGTCACAGAAGAGACAGCTAAAGCTTTGGAGACATTGGGCTACACTTGCTCCCTTCGTGGAGTTATCAAGGTCAAGGGCAAAGGTGAACTAAGAACTTACTTTGTCTGCACGGAAACAGCCCGTTCTTCCTCCCAAGCACCAATGTTGAGCTAAATCTCATGGGATGAAATTGAGACTCTCGAGGGTTGGAATTCTTGGTGAATTCCTCCTGGTACTTGGGAGCAGAGGTGGCTTATTTTAACAGACCTTTCTGGTTCTGTTGGAAGAGGCACTTTCCATGAAAATTGGGAGAGACAGATCCTAAGGAAGTCCCATTTTGCCTTGTATGAGGAAACCTCTAGCTCCATCACCACAGCGAACCCATGTTTAATTCAAGTCAGCAGAAGTGACCCACTAAGAGCATTTGTGATCCTCTCAAAAAGACAAGTTGGAACTTTCTCCTGATCTGAAGAAAGCTGGAATTCTCCAATCAACCTGAAGGCAACGGATCCTCCGTGTTCTACATGTTTGCTAATATGTGGTGCTTGATGATGATTTGTTCACAATGTTCTTTCAATCTGGTCTGTACTGCTATTACCAATCCACAACCACCATGTTCAGAAGTCCTTTAAACTCAACCCACTCTCAAACAAAATTGAGGATCAGCTTCACAGAGCCTCTAAAGATTGAGCGCATGGCATTGGTGACATTATGGGATGTGCAGATATCGCAACAGGCAGGTCACATTTAGAGTTAAGGATAATTTGAGAATGAAGGCAGTAGAGAAGTTATTATTCTACTGGTATTACTGGGGTATTTTCTAGTTGCATAGAGCTGGTTGGATATTGACTCAGATATATCTGATGGAAGTAGATTGGCAATTTTTTTTTAGGTCAACTTCCTGCTTGGTGCCCCAGCAACGCTTCCTTCTTTTGTGGTTTGTGTGTTTTGCAATGCTGGCATATGTTTGCCTGGCTAAGCAATTCATGTGGTTAAAGGAGCTTAACAACTAAGGGGATCTCCTTGCTCCCTCCCCCCGCTCTCTCTTTCTTTCTTTCTTTCTTTCTTTCTTTCTTTCTTTCTTTCTTTCTCCTCCTTCCTTGTTTCAGAATAAAAGAATAAAAGGACCTTGAAGATCTTCTAGTCCAACACCCTGCTCAGGCAGGAACCCTATACCATTTCAGACTCTTTAAAAACTTTCAGTGTTGAAGTACCTACAACTTTGGGAGGCAAGTCTTTCCACTGATTAATTGTTCTAATTGTCAGGAAATTTCTCCTTGGTTCTAGGTTGGTTCTCTGCTTGATTAGTTTCCATCCATTGCTTCTTGTCCTGCCTTCAGGTGCTTTGGAGAATGGATTGGCTCAGGGTGGGTTTCTACTGGTTCTGTCCACCTCTGTAGAACCGGTAACTCTGAATAGCAGCAGACATAGAACCAGTTCTATGTCTGCTGATGTTTTTGCCCACCCACCCACCCAGGCTCTTACCTGATCTTTATTTCCTGATTTTTCAACTTCAACTGCCAAACAAGGCACAGCTGCAGTTAAAAAAGCAGGAAAAGAGGGCTGTTTCAAAGGCTGCTTCTCTGCACAGCAGTGTGCTGATGACGATTTACAGGCGCATGGCTCCCAGCATGCAGGGAAGCTTGTAAATCCCAAACTGGTAGTTAACCCTGTCATATCCCACCCCTGGATTGACTCCTTTTTTGTGGCAACCTCTTAGATATTAGAACATTGCAATTGTCACTCCTTCCTTCCTTCCTTCCTTCCTTCCTTCCTTCCTTCCTTCCTTCCTTCCTCCCTCCCTCCCTCCCTCCCTCCCTCCCTCCCTATTTTAGAATTGGAAAAAAAGATGGACAATGTGTTTTAAACAATTGCAGCATAAACTTTACAAGAAATGGTGAGTGTACGGCACTGAGATTTAATCTCGGCATTGTGGTTTTAAAGCAGGAATGGACAATCCATGACCTTCCAGAGGCTAATCTACAGCTTCTAGCATCCCTTAGTTAATGGTGAAAAGAAAACCCAGGAAAATCATTGCCAGGATAGTTGAAGGGTGTGACATTCAACATTTCCTACTTTCTTTCCTTAAGGAACCATATTTAACAAGTTAGGTCCATTCTGAGGATTTTAAAAAAAAACCTCTTTCTGCCACATTGCTGAATTTGTGATCTGCATTGGTGTTGACCTGAATATAACAAGAGTAATTTCTTCCTGGAATCTCCTTAGCTGAGATTTCCAGTAATTTACAATGAGTAAAAGCAAAATCCCACTTGAAATCTGTTGTAAGTTTTCCAGGAAAGTGTTCACCAACCAGTGGGCCGGGGACCACCAGTTGTCCATGAGAAAAAATTGGTGGTCCGCAGAGAAATATCACCCCCAAAAGCACCCCCAAAAGCAATTAATCCAGGCTCTGTGCTGCTCACATGGCCCGTGGGAACACAAGACTTGTGTCGCTTGCATTCCAAACAACATGAGGTAGTGAGGGGAGGGGGAAAGGGTGGAAGGGGAAAACTTGCCCCACTCGCCCCACTTGCCTTGCCTGGCGACCTGGCTGCTTCTTTCCATTTCTTTCTTCTTCTGCTTTTGGCTCCATGCAAGGAAAGCAGCAAAGTCTTTCTTTCTCTCCCCCAAACTCCATCAGAAATGGAGGATCAGACGGAGGATCCTGCAAGGCATCCTGCTCCAAGGAGCTGTGTCTGCGCAACAAGTCTTGCAAAGACTCATTTCTGGCGGAGTTTGGGGTAGAGAAAGAAAGACTTCTGCTGCTTCTGCTGCTTTCCTTGCATGAAGCCAATAGTCTCTCTCTCTCTCTCCCCCTGAGAACAGAGCTGGAGACGGTATCCTGCAATCCCAAATAAAGAATCATCGATCGGTAGGAAAATAGGGCAGGGAATTTTCCTGCAGACTGTTTTTTTGGATTTTCTCAGGGTCTCTGGTCCACTGGATTTAAAATTATGAGTTTGGTGGTCCCTGAGGTCTAAAAGGTTGGCAACCCCTATTCCAGGAAGTGTGTCATGCAGTGTCTCTTACTGATGTAAAAGGAGGCCTTGCCAGAAAAAATGTCTCTATTCCAATTCTGTGTGCCCTCCCTCCCTCCCTTTTTCTCTCCCTCTCCCTCTCTCTCTGTCTCTCTCTGTTTCTGTCTCTGTCTCTCTCTCTCTCTTTCTGTATCCCCTTTACAACCAAAGCTGGCATATTTAAATTCTTGCAAAAATAAACAGTGTTATCTATTTTATTTGTACATCTTAAGTTGTCCAAGGACTGGTTTCATGTTGCCTGTTTTCTGTTAACATTTATAGGCTTGCAGGCCTTTTCCCTAAGAACTGTAGTTCTTGGCCAGGTTTTTTTTTTTAAAGAGCATTTATTGGTGGGAGTATAAAAGCTTTGCTTTTGCCAGGAAAAGAAAATAACCTTTAAATGCTGCCTTAAAGAGATACAAATGAGTTATATGAGAACCTGGAGGGTGCCAAATGTAATATTTTATTTATTTAGAAAATTTACATAGCCGTCTATTTGCTCACAGTGACTCTTGACAGCTTACAAGCAATAGAAGCACAGTATAGAAAATAAAAAATAACAAAACAATCACCCACCCACCCAACCAAGTGACAACACACAGTCAAATGAGCTGTTTGATGGGGGGGCTCCATTTCACTCTGGATTCCCCAGGTCCACTGGCAAAACCAAGTCTTCAGGGCTTTACGAAAGACTGTCAAAGTGGGGGCCAGTCTAATTTCTGAATGGATGAGATTCCAAAGAGAGGGAGCTACCACAGAGAATGCCCTTCTTCTGGGTCCCACCAGATGTATTCCCTTAGGGGACAGGAGAGGCAACATTCCATGCCTCCCTGCTCTAGTGGGTCAGGTGGATGTGACCAGATAACTTAGTCCTAAGCCATGAAGGGCTTTAAAGGTGACAATCAGCACCTTGAATTGCACCCAGAAGCAAATTGGCAACCCATTACAGCCCCCATTGGAGAAGTGACACATGTGCACCAGAGGTGGTATTCAGCAGGTTCTGACCAGTTCTGGAGAACTGGTAGCGGAAATTTTGAGTAGTTCAGAGAACTGGCAAATACCACCTCTGACTGGCCCCACCCCATCTATTCTCTGCCTCCCGAGTCCCAGCTGATCAGCTGGGTCTTCTTTTGTTGTCCTGGGCAACAGAGGACAACAGAGTGGAAAGCAGGTTGGTGGGATGGGGAGGCAATGGAGATTTTGCAGTAACCTTCCTTCCTCCAGGAGTGGGAGGGAATGGGGATTTTACAGTATCCTTCCCCTGCCATGCCCACCAAGCCACATCCACAGAACCGGTAGTAAAAAAATTTGAATCCCACCACTGATGTGCATGCTGAGCTCTGCACAAAACCATGTGGCCCACTGCATTTTGATTCCCGAAAAACTGCTCTGCATTCAGTATACCCATGGAGGATAAGTTTGTCCAGTATGCATAGCATTTGCATGAATCTCACAACCATTCCACTCAGTCATCTAGTGAAGACAGACTCTTGCCCATTTGTTTTGCCCAGAATATACTTCGCTGAAACTTAAATGGTTATAGAAGTAGCATAAACTGAATCTGAGTTTCTCCCATGCAAACAACACAAAGGAAAATCCCCTCTCCCAAGCCCCCCAACCCAGCCCGGTCATTCCCTGGTTACCTGCAAATGTCCAATCAGGTTCCTGTATATTGCTTAGCAAACAGGTGCTCAATTCCAAGGTCCCCAGCTCTGCATATTCTTAGTTGACCTTGGCCATAGTTTCTCACAAAGTGCAGCTGGGTTTCCATCCCCCACTTTCTTCTTTACATTCCAATCTTTCCCTATATCCCTCCCCCCCACACACCTGCACTAATGCCAGGCTGTCAACTCATGATGTTTGAATAGGTGAGATGCAGCCATGAAAATTCATTCTGCTGTGTCAGGCTTCAAATATTGCTTCTGAGAATGTCTTCAGATTCCCACAACAGATTTACTCACCTGCGGATGGAGTTAACGGGCAGAAGTTCTATGAATGCGCGTGACTCACGTAAAAATCTGAGAGTTGACAAAAATATTTCCTCCCCCTCCCTCATTTCAGAATCTACAAATAGTGCAGAAACATATGTCAAATTTCACAAGGTTCTCCTGTGTTAATTTAGAGAGGAAAAGAAGTATTACTTAGCTTTCATAAAATTGCAACGTGCTGCATGCAAACTTGAGGGCTGTGTAAGATTTGAAAATACAGGTGGTCCTTGACTTATATTGAGCCCAGAGTTTCTGTTGCTTAAACAAGACAGTTCTTAAATGCCCCATTTTATGACCTTTCTTGCCACAGTTAAGTGAATCTCTGCAGCTGTTAAGTTAGGAATATGATAGTTAAATGAATCTGGCTTCCTCATTTACTTTGCTGGTCAGAAGGCCACAAAATGAGATCATTTGATCCCAGGTTCTTGCAACTATCATAAATATGAATCAATTGCCAAGCATCTGAATTTTGGTCACAAGACAATGGGGATGCTGCAATGGTTTTTAGTGTGAAAAACGGTCATAAGTCCCTTTTTTCAGTGCCATTGGAACTTTGAACGGTCACTAAATGAACTGTTGTAAGTCGAGGACTACCTGTAGTTTGAAAAGTATGTTTTCCAGTGCACAGGAAAGATAAGCCCTAACTGCAGCTCTTGAATACAGCTGTGTCTTGTCCCATGCAGCTGTCATGGGAATTGGGGGAAAGACGCAGTTGCTTTCAAGAGTTGTGTTTCAGTATCTCTTTGTATTCTGAAAGACCTTTCTTCTTCTTCTTCTTCTTCTTCTTGTGCCATATCCATCATCGGATGTTGGCTATCATGTTGGTGATCCTATTTTTATCAACAGCTGCACAAAAAAATGCTGTTGAGTTTTGTCCAAACCACTTCTTTAGATTTTGAAGCCATGATGTTCTTCTTCTGTCTGAACCTCATTTGCCTTCAATCTTTCCCTGGAGGATTAAGTGAAGTATGCTGTATTTTTCTGGGTGTTGCATCACATGTCCAAAATATTATAACTTTCACTTTTTTATGGTTTTGAAGATTTCCCTTTGCTTCCCCAAGTGGCTTATCACCTCCTCATTTCTGATTTTGTCAACTTATACATAACAGCCATCTGTAAATCCACATTTCAAATGCTTCTAGTTCCTTCAAGTGACTTTCTGTCAAAGACCAACTCTTTACTCCGTAGAGCAGGACAACAAAAATATAACATCTGACAAGCTTGATTTTTAATCTTAGGCTTATGTTGTGACTACAGAAGACCTTTTTCATTTTAAAGAATGCTGTTCGAGCTTTCCCTATTCTTGGTTTTACTTCAGTGGTCATGTTCCACCTTTCATGTAAATTAGAATCAAGGTATGTGATCCTTTCAACTTTTTCTAGTGGCATTCCTTCCAAAGTTATTGGTGGTAAATTAATTAATTGTTTGCTGATGACCATGATCTTGATTTCTGAGGTGTTAAGCTTCAAGCCATATTTTTCAGATATTTCTGTGACTGTTGAAGAATTTAAGGTCTTCATGCTTACTGGCAAGCAGAACTGTGCCATCAGCATATCTTAAATTGTTGATCCGAACACTGTTTACTTTGAGGTCAGCATCAGTGGTGGTATGCTACTGGTTCGATCCGGTTCAGCTGAACTGGTAGTAAAAAAGGCCTCCAACCATCAGCTGAAAGGAGAAAGAAGAGAAAAGGGCAGGATTGGCTCTCCCACCTGCCTCTCAGCTTTTCTCTTCTGTTTCCTCTTAGCTGATTGGTACTGCAGGCCTCAGCTGGTGAGTGAAAAGCTGCATGTACGCATTAGGGGCGCGTGCGTGTGATCACCAAACTGGTAGTGGAACAGGTAGAATCTCACTGCTGGCCAGCATCGATGTTTTCTAGTGCTGCGGTGAAAATTGATTCAGAGTAGATATTAAACAACAAAAGATCTTTGTGGAATCAAAATACTATCCAATCCTGAAAGATTCAGTGGCCTCCTTGAAGGACTAAATAAGCTGATTATTTTGATTCAGGGAGTCAGGACTGTCCCAAAGCTTGCTGCCAAGCAAAGAACAAGATGGCAGACTAAACACCCCCCACCCCTCCCTGAAGACAGGATGGGTAATCCTCAGCTTACAACCATTCATTTAGCAACCAAATTACAATGGTACTGAAATTCTGGTCCCGATTGTGGTTGTAAGTTGAGGACTATCTGTAATTTAGGATGTGGAATGAAGTTAGCTCTAGTGGCCCATATTAATCTGTTCTGCAATGTTTTGGTCTCCTGACATTCTACTTCAGAACTTTCAATTACCCTTAAGCATACATTCTTTTAACCATAGTCCCAACAAGCAAACAAAAAGTTTGTATATTAAGTCCACCATAAGATCCTGCTGCAGTGTTGTACATGAAAGCCAGCCAAATTTCAAATGTATGTAGTTACAACTTCCATCCCATATTTTAAACACTTGCCCTTGTATGTAGCTCTATGGCCAGGTATTAATTATATATAATAAATGTCTTTTTATTGTAATGTAGATATGAAATACAGTTCAAAATGTTTGAGCATTACCTTCTCCCATTGGCCACTTAGAGCAGGGGTGTCAACTTTGATGTAATTATGGGCTGCATCAGGGTTATGTTTGACCTCAGGGGGCCAGGGATGGGTGTGGCCAGGATGGCCATGGCCGGCTTGAAATCACTCGTGTCAGGGGCACTCTGGATCGAGTGCTCTGCCAGGGAAAATGGGCTCCTGAGCTTTGTTTTCAGCTGGGACAGCCTCCTGTGGCCATCTGCCAGTGAAAATGGAGCCCCCCCCCTCGCTTCATTTTTGCTGGCAGAGGACTGCAGGAGGTTGTCTTGGCCAAAAATGGAGCTCAGGACGGCTGTGTGTGGTTCTCCCGAGCTCTATTTTCATTGGCAGAGGCACTGTGGGCCAGACTTTTACTGTTTCCATGGCAGCCCTGTGGGCCAGATCTAAGCACCCCACAGGCCAGACCCAGCGCCCGGGTCTTGAGTTTGACACCCCTGACTTAGAGGGATGCAATATTTTTTTTTTGCAGATATCAGGACTTAAGCTCTTTATGATTCCTCTTTCTCTGGAGATAGAGATAGATGATAGGTAGGTAGGTAGGTAAGTAGATGATAGATAGATAGATAGATAGATAGATAGATAGATAGATAGATAGATAGATAGATAGATAGATAGATAGAGGTGAGAGACAGAAATGAAATGATAAGATTCAGGGCAACAAAACACTCCAGTAATACTAACAAAATATTAACAAAAGGGAAGGTCTCAAAAGGGAAGGTCTTAGAGGGAAGGTCTCAAGAAGGAATAGCAAAGCATAAAGCACATTTTTCTTCTCTCAAAACAATTGCAAACTAATGCATAAAGACAGGGAGGGAAGCATTCCACAAAAGTTGTGTCAATTGATTTGAAAGTGGAAAAAAGAGGAAACAAGAGTTTGGTTTGTCTAAAACTGAAATTGGACAAACCCTGCTCTGATTTTAAATGTAGAATTAGGGTGGGGTCAGACTGTGTGCAAGTTTGGTGTTTCATGCTCTCTAAAGTTTAGCATTTAATGAACACAGTGTCACAGATCCATCTTTTCACATGTTCAGACAGGTTTTCACTGTCCTTGCCACAATCTTTGGGAAATGCTTCTTAAACACAATATTATAATATAATGACAAATAATAATAAACCTCTTCATATTTAGTCCCTGCAATTCCTTGCCAACAAATACAAGCCATGTTGCTGAATGAAATGAGTAAGAAATGAAACTGCCTACCTCATACAGAAGAAGATACAGAGAAAAGTAAGAGAGAACATTTCTATAGATCTTTAAAAAAACTAACAACAAAAGTCTGAATGTCCCCCCTTGTCCCTAGTTTCAAGTTCATGGGAGCAGGTTCAAGCCTTTTCCACCTTCTTGAGCTGAGCTACTTTCTGTAGGGTTAGTAGACATAGTTAACAACTCTGGTTTCTCATTATTTAAGGGTTCTGTCTTAGCATCTCGGTCTCGGGTTGTACCATGTTTTACACTGGACATCTCTGAGGCTGTTCCTTCAAAGAGTTTGGCCATGAAACCAATACCAGATGATCGGATTAAGGAGCCTCCGCTGAAAGTGTAGAGGATGGGGTTTACACTGCTACTGAAGAAGGCAAGGGCCACCAAAATGGGCCTACCCTTCCTCCCTGCGATTTGAACCTTTGACGAGCCACTCCACAGACCAATCACATCTAGAAGGTTGACAATATGGTAAGGAAGCCAGAAAAGAGCGAAGGCTATCACAATGAGGCTAATGAGTCGGCTGGTCCTGCGTTTCTGACGGAAACGAGTCCCTTTGAGGCGTTGACTAATCATCCCGTAGCTGTAGACAACAATGGTAAAAGGCAGCAGAAACCCAGTGATGGTTTCAAAGAGGTTCTGGAAGACTAACTCCTTACCTCCTTGGTGACACAAAATGCAGTACGATGTGCTGTTATGAGTCACCACTTTCCGGTAGAGGAGAGAAGGCACAGCTAAGAAAAGGCTCATCACCCAAATCGCAAACACCAAAAGCCGGATGGTGCGCCTGGTACGGATTTTCTGTGAGACAAAAGGTTTGGAAACAGCCAGGCAGCGGTCAAGGCTCATGAGAGCAATGAGGTAAACACTGGCATACATGCTGACCCCACAGATGTAGTAGCAGATTTGGCAGACAGCCTGACCCATTTCCCATTTCTTGGCACTTAGGAATCGCAGGAAGAGAGGGGCGGTGAGGAGCACTGCCAGGTCAGCGATGGCTAAATGAAGAATGAGGAGGCAGGTGACTGTCCGCTTGCGAACCCAGCAAATGGCTGTCCACACTACGAAGGCATTGCCAGGGAATCCCAAGATGAAAGCAAGCGACAGTACCCCTATGCCTATCGAGGCTCCTGACAGAGGCTTGGAAGATGTATTGTTTTGGTTTTCAATACAATTAGCCATGGTCCTGTTAGCGGTCAGGAGGTGGAGTAGGCACTGTGAAAAAGAGAAGAGAAGCAGAAAACATTGTTAAAATCCTATGTGCCGCTCTCTTCTTCCATCTTAAAAGCCTCGTGGTTCTTAGCTTGTCAACAACTGACTGTAAATCAGTCCTCTACAATGATAATTTTTGGGTTTCCTATCCAAGAACATTCAAAGGAGCCCTGTGTTGCCAGCTGGCCTAATGAAGTGTGTCAAAACTTAACTAGAGGAGGAACTGGATAAAGAAACAAAACCATCCCACCATCCATTTGTATGATACTGCCACCTGTTTTTGTTCTTTGTTTCTATCACAATCTATCAACAGATTCTCCCTCTGGGCAGGCTTCCCATCTAAGTGGAAGTTTAGAATTTAAATGATAAATAGTGGCACCCAACATCACTGTGAGCTAAAAGTACACAAACTTCTAGTTCTTCTATGCTGATGGAGCAATTTCCTTTGCAGTTGTTACACAAATTGTGAGGCAACAATTTAATGATGTGGAAATAATGGTAAGTAGACTTTGGATATGAAATTGCTGCTTAGAGTGACTTCCTTCCTTCCTTCCTTTCCTTCCTTCCCCCTTCTTTCTTTCTTTCTTTCTTTCTTTCTTTCTTTCTTTCTTTCTTTCTTTCTTTCTTTCTTTCTTTCTTTCTTTCTTTCTTTCTTTCTTTCTCTCCTTCCTTCTTTCCTCCCTCCCTCCCTCCTCCCTCCCTTTCTCTCTTTATTTCTCTTTCTCTCACCCCCTTCCTTACATGAAGCAGGTTAAATTCAAGTAGAAGGAAATGTTATAGTTTTCTGTGATCTCCAGGAAAAAAAAATGATGCATCCTTTCCTTTCAGTCAAGGTTAGAATAAGAGGAACTGCATTTTTAGGATACATGAAATTTTTGGTTTGCACCTTATTGCGGTTTAATGTTGATGGAACAGATTGTTCTCCAGTTGCATAATCCAATGAGATATATCTACGTATATCTGGACAGCTATTTATTATCAGTGAAAGGATACCAAAATTTGTGCCTCTTTGTTGGTAACCAATGGAGACCAAAATCCTCAAAACCATAGTTAATGTGAGCGTAACTTTCATTGGTCCCCTGCCATAAACTTTGCTATTCCTATGCTTATTTGCTTAGATTATGCTGGCTGAGGAATTTTGGGAGTAGAAGTCCATTTATCCTAAAGTTGTAGAGGTGGAGAAACACAAGTTTAGATTATTTTAATTAGGTAAACTTCAAACAGTAGCATAATACCGACCTTTGGTATAACTTTTCTTTACAAAATTGTCTGTGAGGCCTCAAGAACACCAAGAAAATCTCTACTGTTCATTTAGGAATGTGGCCACTTGTCCAATAAAAAAAAGAATAAAGAATATTCTGAAGGACCAGAAACCAGTGACAGAAAACTAGTTTCCCTTCTGTCATCCCATTTGGTATGGCTGCCATTTTGGAACAGCATCCATAGAGCAGTATTCATTGCTGCATTGACAAGTAAGTCAGTGGTGGGATTCAATTTTTTTTACTACCAGTTCTGTGGGTGTGGCTTGGTGGATGTGGCAGGGGAAGGAGACTGTAAAATCTCCAGTCAGAGGTGGGATTTGCCAGTTCTCCGAACTACTCAAAATTTCTGCTACCAGTTTTCCAGAAGTAAGTATGTAAATTGGGTGATCCACCAGGTGGAGTGCAAATGCTCAAGTTTAATGGTCTATGTCTATGGAGATTCTTAGTCATTCAGGTTATGGTTGTCCCAAAGGTGCTTTTTTTCAAGAGGCAACTGACTTTCTGGTTTTCTTTTGAAGACATTTCAAAGAAAAACATCTTCAAAAGGAAAACCAGAAAGTCCAATTTCCTCTTGAAGAAGACACCTTTGGGACTTCAGTGACCTATGGTTCTTCACAGTTACTTGTGTACAAGGCAAGAAAATTATTTGAGTTACTTCAACTTCCTGACATCTGCATTTTCACAGCTTCATTTGCTCCCATGAGCATTAACAGAAGCTAACCACACATTTCCAAGGTATGTGTGGCTTCTCAGTAACCTCCCCAAACCATAGGTAGGACTCAGTTGCTGAAGACTTAGAACATTGGAACATAGAGTTGGAAGGGGCCTTGGGGGTCTTCTAGTCCAACCCCTGCTCAAGCAGGAAATCTTATACCGTTTCAGACAAACAGTTGTCCAGTCTTTTTTTGAAAGCCTCCATTGATGGAGCACCCATAACTTCTGAACGCAAGCTATTCCATTGGTTGATTGTTCTAACCATTAGGAATATTATCCTTAGGATAGCTTCTCTCCTTGGTTAGTTTCCATCCATTGTTTCTTGCCTTGCTTTTTGGTGCATTGGAAAATAGTTTGACCCTTCAGCTTTGTAGGAGCCCCTCAAATACCAGAATGCTGCTATTATGTCTCCCCTAGTCCTTCTTTTCACTAGATTAGACATACCCAATTCCTGCAACTGTTAGGTTATATGTTTTAGCCTGAAGTCTCCTAATCATTCTTTTTTTAAAAATTTTTTTTTATTTTTTACAACAAACATACAGACAAAACATAAAAACATAAAACCCTCTTTCAGTTATATACATACAGTGTGTCAGTTGGTTACAATTTTTGTGCTACCCTATTTTTTACCATTATTCACAAGTTATATAAATTCTCACCTTATCAATCTAATTTGTTCTTATGTAATATCTATTATTAATCATTCATTTAACTAAACTATTTTTCCATCATTCTATACGAGATATTCTAAATTTCATTATGGTTTAATCTTATACATTCATTCAATGGCTATATATTTTATATTGTATTCTATATCAATCTATTAACTTTTATTATAAAGCTTGCTAATCTATTTCTTTACCATGTCTTTTTATCTAACCATTGATAAAATAAATCCCATATCATATAAAATTGTTTATCTTCTTGTTCTCTAATTTCAAACGTCAATTTACTCATTTCACCACAGTCCATGATTTTCTTAATAATTTCCTCCTGCATAGGTATTTTTTCATTTTTCCAATTCTTAGCAAATACAATTCTAGCTGCTGTTAAAACATTTACAATCAAATATTTCAATTCTTTATTGTATATTTCTGGTATAATTCCCAATAAGAATATCTCAGGTTTAAAGTCTATGTGTTGTTTTATCATTTTTTCCAACCATGTGTGGATTATAGTCCAATATCTTTTTGCATCCGAGCACGTCCACCACGTATGGTAATATGAGTCAGGTATCTGATGACATTTCCAACATTTATCCAATTTATTCTTGAACATCTTCGCAATTCTCATCGGGGGTAAGTGCCACCATCTTATACAAATTTTCTTTACATGCGGTTGGCCTCTGAGCCATTCTTGTTGCTCTTCTCTGCACTTTTTCCAGGGCCTCAACATCTTTTTTATATTGTGGTGACCATAACTTGATGCACTATCCCAAGTGTGGTCTTACTAAGGCTTTGTAAAGTAGCACTAGAACATTATGTGATCTTGATTCTACCCATCTGTTAATGCAGTCTAGGATAATGCTTTTCTTTTTCTTCTTCTTGTAGGACCTATTTTTTAAAGAGAATTAAAACCTGATCCTAGATTTAAAATACCCTGGAGTACAGTCCTTGACATTTGATTTGCAACTGTTCTTACTTTTCTGTTGGTGCTGGGGGAAAAAAAAGACTTCTGGCAGTCTCACACTTATGACTGTCAGAGTATACCTATTGTCACATCACCACAAGTAAGGTACTTGACAACAAAAGTGTATTTTATTACTGTTGCAGTGTCCTGATATCATGAGATTGCCATTTGTGATCTTCTCTGCTGGCTTCTGACAAGCAAAATCAGTGGGGGGACCTGGATTCATTAAAAAGCTGCATGACTCACTTAAGGGCAAAAAAAGTTATAAAATTGAGCACGGTCACAGAATGATACAGTTAATGACTGCATCACATAGAGACAGAAGTTCCAGTCCCACGTGGCTATAAATCAAGGATGAACTATGTCTGCAGGTTGTCTGAATCATAGTTGCTGCAAATTGCCAACAACGTATTACACAAACCTAGAGCTGAATGTGCAAGGTTTCAGATAGACAGTGAGCATTTGGTGTTCTTAAGTTCCTTAAATTTTGTCATCTTTTATTTAAAGGAAAGAAAATGAAGAGTGTTACTAAGTTTACACTGACCAGATTTTCCTTCTTTCCTTCCTTCTTTCCTTCCTTCCCTTCCCTTTCTTTCTCTTGCCTTCCTGCCTCTGCTTTCCTTCTTTCCTTCTTCCCTTCTCTTTCCTTCCCTTTTATTTCCTTCCCTTCCCTGCCTGCCTCTGCCTTCCTTCTTTCTGTCAGGTTCCAAGTAAGGCAACCATTATAAAACTCTGAGGTACTTCAATTCCTCAAATAACAGGTTTATTAGGATACACCATCTTGGCACTAACTAGTGGAAAGCCAGTACTGAAAGTTTCCTGGCTTTCCACATCAATTTTCTCAATTTTCCAAAACAATGTGTCCCATTGTCCAACCAGGATGTGAAATGGTTTCCTGGAAATTTTGCTCCTCCTTCCTCTGACCAGGCAGTCGTGGGAACGTGGCTAACTCATTGTCCAGCTATGTTATTTTGGTTGGAACTCCATCCACCTCAACTCTCCCCCGCTTTGAGCTCCCAAATGTAACAGATAATAGATAATCCTACACCATTTCTGACAAATGGCAGTCCAATGTGTATCAAACTGACACACTCCCAAATGGGAGGCCCCACACTATTTCTAACAAATGGCAGTCCAGTGTGTCAAACTAAATTCATTATGAATAACCCAGACATACAGCAATCCACCACCAAATCAAATTCAAGCTTGATACTTTTCTTCTTTCCTTTCTTCCCTTCCCTTGCCTGAACTCTGAAGGCATTAATCAAAAACAGAGGATGATTAGGGCCAATGTTTATCCAATATCTTCAATTAATGGCCGTCATGCAGGAAAGATGACGTTAGAAAGAAATAGCAACAAGTCAAGAAAATGTGTTGTGT